TCGTAGGTCAAAACAGCATCTCCCATCCCTGTGAAGCTATTCCCCTTCGCTCTCCTCGCCCCCTCCTCGCAGACGGCACAGAAAACTCTCCCCTCCACCACCCATCATCAACACCAACACCACCCTACTTCGAAGACGACGACCACCCCCCAGGCTTCCTCCCCACCCTCCGACACAAAAACATCTCCTTCAGCAAATCAGATACCCAGGACCTCCCCTCCCGCATCTCCCGCATCTGGTACATCAACCCTTACGGCCAGGAAATTCAACCGCCCGCTAACCCCCGCGTCATTGAATCTCTCCACGATGCCCAAGCTATCATATATAGCATCGGCTCTTTGTACACCTCCATCATTCCCTCTATTATCCTCCGGGGTGTCGGCCAAGCCATCGCTACTGGCCCAGCAAGGCATAAGATTCTCATCTTGAACGGGTCTCTGGATCGCGAGACGGGGCCGTCTCATGAGCCGTTTACGGCTTCGGACTTTGTAGAGGCTATTACCCGAGCTGGAGAGGAGAGTCGGGGTAGGGGTCCGTTGAATATGGATCCTTCTGCTAGTGCTGGTGCTGGTGCTGTGGAAGATGGAGACAGGGGGAAGGAGGAGGAACGACTCCCGTATTCGGCGTATGTGACGCATGTTCTGCATTTGGATGGTCCGGGTACTCCCCGTGTTGATAAGGATCGGCTTGCGGAGATGGGGATCGAGACATTGCGGCTTTATGGGAGGAAGATTGTTGGCGCTAATGGGGAGGATGTGGGCCTTGGGATGCGGTATGATTCGACGGCGTTGGTGCAGGCGCTGGAGGTGGTGCTGGGGAAGAAAGGGGATGCTATGTTGAGGGGGAAGGATAGGAGTGGGATGAGTCGGAGGAATACACTGGATCCGGGGAGGAGAGACTGAAAGGAAGAATGGAATAGTGTAGAGATATTATTTTGGGTTTGAGAGAACAAAGCTACAAGCGATTACTGATTTATTGAGATTATTTGTATATTTACATTGCTTGTTCTTAAGATCATGATTAACACCACCATAGAGACACCTCGATTACTCTGACATAGATGATAGATGATAGTCCGTGAATCCGCTGGACGCCGCCCAATGCTTCACGAACGATTTTCGACATAATACAACTCGTAGAAGAAGATCCAAAAAGATGAGATGAAAAAGAAAGGCCATACCGTTCCCAGAGAACGACGAAGTCAGCTAATATATACAGTAAAATAGTGAAGGGTGGGAAGGAAAATTACGCCCATGCATGACCACTAAGCTCGGGCAGATGGTCTTGGTTTCCAATTCTGACGGTTGAAGCTAACCTGGGGAGACCGGCTCCCTTGGGGAAGGCTTTTGAAGTCAGGATAGAGACTGGGTCCGATGTCCATCAGAATGGCTTTTTGTGGTTCTGCTGCCACTGAGCCAGAGGCTTTTGCACGATTAATAGGCGAACGCGCGTTTGGGGGTGTCAGCGTGGACTTTTGTTTAGTGAGATCCTTGATTATGTCTCGGAGTTCGTTGTCGTCCTTCGAGATCTGAGCGCGGATGAAAGCCGGGTGAGAAGTCTGAAGTGCGGACATGACTGACGGTCGTGGCGTGTACTCGTACTGCTGGGGGTTGGGTGGTGAGATGGGGGTGATGGTGGGATCGAGGAATGCCTTTTCGTTCTTGTCCAAGAGCTGCGCGACGTCAAGACTCTCACCGTGGGGAATCTTGTACGGGTGGGATGGGGTTACACAGTCCATGTCAACCTCTTTTCGCAGGACGTGGTCGATGTCCACGGCTGAGAAGTAGGCGCAGGACTGGGGGAGGTCGTTAATCCCGACTTGCTGCGAGAACATCGCGCGGGTCCACACATTGGCAACCTGCAATGCCAGTGCAGCTCGATACTTGTCTTCATCTTTGACTAGATATCTGATTTCGTCATGGACAGTGATTGCCAGACGAGCGGAGATATTGAAGCGACGAATGAGGTAGTCCATGGCGACAATCAAGAGATGGAGATAATCGACGCCAGACGACTGAATAGCCCAGTTAATCCTCGATGTCATAAAGCTTCCCTTGTTGATGAAGCGCCGCATCAGCGCTTCAGTGATTCCGGCTCCTAGCGTAGGTGTTCTGGGCCTCTCTTGCTCAGCGAACTCCTCCAGTTTGTTGAAGACGAACGACTCGGTCCCGCCCCTCCAGAAAGGACCTTCGCAGAGTATACGACGAGTCGTACGGGTACCCTTCGTCTCTTTATATAGTTTTGTTGCAACCTCCTGGGTCTGCCTTTCTGACATGGACGGATTGAACTGACGCAGCAAAGTAGCGGCGAATTTGACGCCAGCTCCATAGATACGTCCATAGTTAAAGACCTTGGCATCGTTCCGTGAGATACCCAGGATCTGGGCAGTGCGTGAGTGCATATCCGTCCCTGCTGCCTTCGATCCTTCCAGTGTCATAAACCCGATGGCGTTGCCGCCGTGGATCTGGAACTGGGCATCCCCAACAAGACTGGCAATCCATAGTTCCTGAGAATCGACATCTGCGCCGACAAAAGAGTAGCCAGGCGGAGCTTTGATCATGGCCTTGAGCTCAGACCCGACACGGTTCCCTTTCGCATTACTGGCTGTAAGCCATGTGTTTTCCACTGCCCTTCGGGTGATGGTTCCCATTGGAATGATCTGTGGCAAGATGAACCCGAGTCGGTGGTCTGTCTTGCTACGCGATGCCAGGTCTCGCACTTCGTCCTCGTAAACTACAATTTGGCCCATGATACGGTCACGAGCACTGATCCAGTAAGAGCAGGATGCATTCATCTCTAGCGCCTCCTTGGCGAGGGCGTACTGGGATGAGAGCGTTCCACGTTCAAAGTACTGCATGTACCCTTTCGCTAGAGGGTTTGTACACCGTGCTTGAGGCCCATCCTTGTGCGGAAGTTTGAAGTAAACATGTTTTCTGTCATTCTGCAATTCGGGGTTCTTCTCCTCGGACATGTCACACAGAACGACAGGCTGGTTCTCATAATTCTTGACAAGCTCGCGCGGGACTTTGAAAGTCCACCCATACTTATCAGACCATGTCAAAGGGTAACCGTCCCAGGACAGTTTGAGAAGTATTGGCGCGATACGAGTACGCACAGACAAGTTGATGTCTGATGTGTTGGTGGCAAACAGATCTTTATACCATTTCGGCATACCCGGCTTCTTCTGCCTGGCAGCGGGTCGCGGAAGGTCGCCTTTCTTCTTTCCTTTGACCATCTTCACCTCCTGGCCGGACCAGTCCAGCTGCCGCAGCCAGGGATCATTCGTATAGATGTCCGGAGAATCCTTGACTTTCAAAGCTTCCTCGCAAAGTTCGATCATTTTTCGCTGAACATCCTCAAGACGCTGGTGATAGGTTGCTTCCGCATTGGTGATATACTCCTTCCAAGTCTCATTCACTGGCAAGATTACCGAAGAGAGATGTCGAAGGGCGCCAAAGCTGACAGGGTGCGGGCAGACTTCAAGGAAGTTAGGGAATACCTTCTTGTACACTCGGTGGGTAATGGCAACATCCGCTGCACAATAATCGAGCAGTTCCTCCAACTTCCCCAGGATTCCGTCTCTGTCAAGTTCACCGAAATAGTCACGTTGCGCCTTGTCAATCGTAACATCGCAATGAAACTTGGCCACGTCACGAAGCGAATTCACCGAGCTCCTTCCTACCCAAAGTTCTTCTTCCTCATCACTGAGCATCTTACTTTCTAGTAGGGCTGCCAGCTCAACCGAGTTACTCTCGCTCGCGATCTTGTTTCTCAAGTCCCTATTCTTCTTGTGCCGCATCCAGGTAGGTCTCTGCTGTGAACACATACCATTCACAGCCACGTGAAGGGACATGGTATCAAGAAAGAAGTTGCGAGACTGGGCCATATCATACTCCTCAAGAACGCGAGCGCGATCATAACCAATATTATGGCCCACGACAATTCGCGGCTTCGATGGGTCTCCGAGGGGAACGAGCTGGACCGGGTTTTCCGACTCTCCTAATAACCAGGGCGATATCCAAGCATACCAAGCCGTAGGACTAACAGCGCAAGCCATAACAGCAAAAGAATGCTCCTTGTACATGACTTCGGTGTCAAACGTCAACATGGCCTCATTCGGTGCATCAACCGCTTCCCACGAGCCGTCGCTGCTGTACTTTGTCCATCCACTGCGTTTTATCCATTTGCGCGGCTTCTCCGGAGAGTTCACCACGGCGTACTGTTTGGAATAGGCGAGATAGGGCTCCGATGCATCCATTCCCAGTTTGTAGAAATGCTCATCAAGCGATTGCCCTTGAAGGGCGGGCATGTCAAAGGCGATTGGCTCCGCGGCATCTTGTGACTTTCCAAGTAAATCGTGCCTTGACAGATGTTCCTTTGACAAAGCGACCAGACTGGGATCTGGCGGTTCTGCTTTCTGCAGAAATACTTGGGAGTAGACATGGTCGCTTAATTGTTGGACTCCGATCTCGTTGAATCTAGCGGAAGCGGGGACTGCGAAATTAGTACATAGGGCTTTCGCAACTCAAAACAGCTGAAACACCCACCTGCAAGAGATTCCCGTTTAGGTGCCTCATCAGAAGTATGCGCTACAGACTGTGTCGCAAGATACCTTGCTAGCAATGATGAAGATTGTGGCCGTACGATGCGTGGCGAGCGCAATCTCTGCGAACAAAAGCGTAGGACATCCCTACGACAGGGAGTGCAGGGATGACTCCAGAGCATTTTCTTCATGAATTATAGAAAGATGATTATCCCCATGACATGGTAACGTAGGCGTCGCAGCCAATGCTGCGTGATAGTAAATGCGACGAGAGGGACGCCGGCTTTCCAGGAGCGCTCGTACTTTCTTTCCTATCGCGGAATAATCCCAGCGTCATGATGGAAGATTCCCGGATTATCCTCTCTCCGGATAAATGTCACCGCCTACTCCAATAGGCAGCCGAGTGTTATCGGGCATCGATAAGCCGCCAACTATTTCTCCGATCGCCTCGCCTCCCCTCGTCACCTTAACTGCACTTCTCGCTTACCTGCGCTGCGAGTTTGCTCAGTACTGTCTGGGAGATGAAGCAGCAAGATTTACCCGCCGAGGTACAGGATTTTCTAGTCTCTTGACATATCGCCACAACCACAGAGCACTTCTCAGCGCCTGGCTGCTCTTACGGAGTTTACCCTCGCTCCCTCACTAGTCCCGACAGTACGGATCCAATCGACTTTCGAAGCACTGATTAAAATGGATAGCGCATCTCCCAGGCGTCGGGCTTCAGCTGCTCGTCACCTTTCCTTAGAACCCTCACCCCCCGCTCATCGTCGGCTATCTCACGAAAGCATAGACGCACTAGAAGCCTCTGGCCACCAAAAGAAGCGCCGTCGTACCAGTCATTCTGGACGACAGGAGAATGCGCCCCCGGATGCAGTTGACCTAACGGCGGCAGAGGATATGGACCCTGTGTCAAGGACACAAGCCAAACAACGAGCAGATGTTATCCTCGCACAGCAGTCCCTAGATCATAACAAAGGCGAGTCTGTTCTACTTGCATACAAGTGTCCCGTTTGCATGGACACCCCGGTTGATGCTACCAGTACTGCATGTGGTAAGTTCGTTTTGCGATATTGCGGGCTACCTAGCTGACTCAATCAAGGACATCTTTTCTGTCACAAGTGTATCATGGATACCTTGAAGTTCAGCGAGGCACAGCGGTCGGATATGTCTGGAAAAGGGCCCCGGGGCACTTGCCCTGTGTGCAGAAAATACCTCTCGCGCAATGACTTGCCCGGTCCGAAGAGGAATCTCGTACCTCTTCAAATCAAACTTACGACTAGAAAGAGGACAGAGACCGCGCAATGAGCAGTCATTGTGCATATCAGTTCATGACCGTCCCATTCAGCAACTCCCAACTCGCTTTCGGAGCATTATGGGTTACAGAAGGGAAATGTGACGACTTGAAGATATGGAAGTGAATGTATAGCTGCCATTCACTTCCTCGCATCATGGTTATCGGGCCAGTTACCTCTGTGTTGAAGACCCTACTCTTATGAAGTATCCATGAGGGATAACACCGGTGACTTCAGCTTGGTGGATTCTAGAAACCTTGGCTTGAACCTGGAAAAGGGGACCAAGGCAAGATTCGCCGTGACACGGCGAAATTTGTATTGACCCGACCAGATCGGTACAGCGAGTGTCTCGTTTTAGGCGTTCTCGGCATACTTTAGCATACTCTCTCTCTCTGTGTGTGTGTGTGTGTGTGTGGAAGACAAATCCTGGGGCGTGGCCCGGAGGATACCACGGCTCTTGCATAGACTAAACCGTCGCGCCCGGGCTTTAAGGAATAAACTTACAGAAGCCAAGACTTGATCGTGCAGTAGTAGCTTGTCCATTTACTAATGAGATGAAAACTTATCTACTCCATATTCTCCCTTCCAATTCTGGTTTAAGCAGCGTTCTGTTATTTTACGATCTGTCGATCTTTAAAGAATGCGGATTTCCTTGCCGATGGAACAACCAGTTGGGTCCGTGTCCCGCGGCGACGTCATTCCCCCGCGGAGGAGAATAACGGATTAGCGCTCTTTCCGTCTTAGCCATCTTTCCCTTCTATTCTCCTATTCAAAAGCTTATATCCACTAGCCTTTGCCAGCTCTGTGTTACTTCTATTCCACCTCTGTGAATCAGTATGGCATATGTCAATGCTTGCGAGTGCCGTTCATTGCTGGCACCGATTCACCCTTACTGAGTGCCTCTACTACACCCACGAGCAGCATTGATTACATCGCAAGCATGAGTATCTACTCGCAAGATCATGCGCAGTCGGCAGCGGGACTGCAGTCGTCTCAAGACATAGCTGATATCGAGGCAAATCCCCGGACCCCCAATCCGCCCATATCTCCAACGTCTAAGGTGCCGCCTTCGCCTCCCCCTGAAACTTTCACCACGGCCGCCAGGCTCAACTCCCGTGAAACTGTCCGAAACCGACTTCGACGCTCCACCACCGCTCGCTCATACTATCGCGAAGATGGCGCGCTCGATCCGAACTGGCAGCCAGGGACGGAACCAGGCATTGATCCAAGCCAGCCGCTTCCTGCTTATAGCACGGAATGGATGGCCTCAACGCCCGCAGAGCTACACGGGACAAGTGAAATCACTGTTGTGGACTTTTCGCAACATGAAATGAGGCAATATGTTCTGGACAATGATACCCTTGAGCCGTTTCTTGCGCGGGAGAGAGAGCCTTGGGTGCAATGCAGATGGATCAACGTCAACGGACTCAGTTGGGATGCTATAAGAATCTTAGGTAACGAAAAAGGCCTGCACAGACTCGCGGTCGAGGACCTGATCAATGCAACAAATCGCACCAAAGTTGACTGGTACTCCGATCATGCATACATTGTGCTAAAACTCCAGAAATTGATAAAACTCAAAGAAGATGACAGTGATTCTGAGGATGAGGAAGATGAAAATACACACTGGACGAATGAGCGCAAAAGTTCGGCAAGCAGCATTTCCCTGAGAAGGCCTACTAAAAGAACACTTGTGTTGGAAGCATTGAGAGACCTTTTCCGGCCGAAAACCCGCGAGGACAGCCCTGATGAACAGTACCCTGGAAAGGATGCTTCCTCAGGTAGGAGGAAGTCCACTTCCAAGGCATCTAATATTGATGATGGTGCCAATGTTAGGTTCACGCCTCGTAGCATCCAACGTTACCGAGGTGGCCCGAACGAGGACCGGATAGCCTTCATGGAGCGCCATGCTATACTGGCGGCAAAGGGACTGTGTGTTACTCTGGAACAGGTCTCAATTTTCTTACATGCGGATAATACGGTGACTTCCTTTTTCGAAACGAGTGCCGATGATATTGAGGGTCCAATTGTCCGACGTCTCAGCACCCCGGAGACGATGTTGCGCCAGTCTTGTGACGCTAGTATGGTCGTGCAAGCCATTCTGGATGCTATCATAGACTTGGCCATACCGGTGACCACAGCTTACCAAGATGTGATCGGTGATCTTGAGCTCGAGGTACTGACAGATCCAGACGTGGATCAATCCAAAAGCCTGTATGTCCTCACTTCAGAAATTGCAATCCTCCGAAACTGCATGCAACCAATCGCGACTGTCATCAATGCCCTTCGTGACCACCGGTCCGACCCTGTGCATACTCCTGGCCTGGGAGTTTTGAGGAATGTCGGGACTGCGACTCCTACAAATGATTGGAGTCCATACATTGGAACGGCCACACCAAACCTGAAAAGCCTGAGCGGATCGAGCGTTTCCATCAGTCCAATGTGTCATACATACTTGGGAGATGCGCTAGACCATTGTATAACCATAGTGGAAGGATATGATCAAATGAGAAGGGCTGCTGACAATATGATCGACCTGATCTTCAATACGATTGGTGAGTGTGAATCATGCCATTGGGATTTTGTCTGAGGCTTACAGTATCTAGGCGCTTATCAGAACGAGAGTATGAAGCAACTCACCATTGTGACATGCTTCTATCTTCCACTTACCTTCCTAACGGTGCGGGTTTATTCGCTTGTATAGACTGCTTATCTGACTGTAAATCAGGGCTACTTTGGCATGAACTTTACCTCCTTCGCTGGCATAGAACATAGCGATGCGTATGTCTATCAGTCCGTCCTGTAGCAATGACTAACTCAAGCTCCAGATACTTTTGGATGATTGCCGTTCCATTTGTGTTCGTCACAACCATCTTCTTGATGTAAGTCTTACTTTGGCATCAGAAACTAGCATCACTGACCCCCCACAGGCGCGACAAGCTGCAGCGTTACTTGGTGTTGCTTGCCCAGAAACGGCTGATCACCAGCTCTAGGAGGAGCAGACGGAGAAGGAGGGCCACTGAGAAGACATAGGATTTCTATCCTCGGTTAACAATCAGGCGTGTAGATCATCGGTAGAGATATTAGTATACAGTCACATAGAGATAATGATCACGATACAAAGCTACTTGCATCATACGGAATATGGGAGCGTTTACTGAGTTAATTGGTTCCTGTGATTACTACCAGAACAACGTGGCCACACGGTATACCACTCACAGAGTCAAATGCAATAATCAAACACTTCACATCCCCATACTAAACTGGTATATCCTCAGCGGGAATAAGTATCAAAATTCTCCGCATCCGGCCATTGCATCTGCAACCAATCATCCATGGAGAACACAAAATCCAATCCCACGCCGTCTTCTGGCACTGAAATTGACGGCAGCACACATTCATCAACTGGTCACCAAATCACCCATTAGCAAGCAAACATGAACCTAAGCCACACCATTCAACTTACCTCCATCTACACCCACACTCCGACCCACCTCCCCTGCCCCCAAATCACCATCACCATCACCAGAACTCACCCTACCATTCGCACCATCCCCATCAACCACACACTCCCCCACCCGCGCAAGAGTAAGACTAACCACCTCCGCTGCCCTCGCCGCCTCGCGCGAAGTCGCCGTCGACCCACGACGCAACCAAATAGTCCTCGCCGTTCTCAGGGCATCCAGCACCTCCTCTCCCCTATCCAAAGGCCCTCCACAATGCACCAACGAGCAAAGAATCATCGTCGCGGTCAGAAACAAATGCGTCATACTAGACGTGATCCGCCAATGCATATCATATAATTGACCCCCTCTGCAAGTCTCCTCGTCGAGAATGTGTTGGATGCGTAGCGCGCCGAGTGATGCGTCGATACAGGCGGTGCGGGAGTATGCGAATTTGGGATTTTCTGCGTTTAACTCATGCGATGGGATTGGTGGTATGTTGAGGAATCGACGATGGAGCATGATTTGCCCCTTGTATAGGAGGTGTTGGAGGAATAGTCGGGACATGATCACCTGTGAGGAATCGGTCATGCTCGCTTGTAGAGGTTTGAAGCGGAGGGGGGGAGGGATGTGGGAGACGGCGTCGTGGAGGGTCTTGTCCGCTTGCATTACTTCTGCGTAGCTTGCTGGTTGGACTGCGTCTGCTAGGTTGGATATACTGCCTAGGGCTAGGAGCATGCGTCTTCGCGCGATGAGTTCTAGTGTAGTGGTGTGTTCTGTTTCTGGTCTGCTGGGGGGAAGGGTATTTAGGGATGGGGTTAAGTCTGTATCGAAGAGGTTTCGTGGCTCGGCGGTATCCCATTTCCAGTCGGAGATCATTCGCGGCATGCCCATTTGGCTGGATAGGAGGATGTCGCTTGTTAATACGGTGGTCCATAGACGACGGCGCATTTCGCCTTGCAGTGGGGAAAGATTGGGGAAGTGGCTGGGATCGCGATGGTAGCCCATTCGCAAGGCGAGGTTGACTTCGAGGCCGAGTAGGAACCAGATGTTGCGGTTCGCGTCCGGGTTGATTCCGTATTCGATGTATACGTAGTGGACTAGGGTCTCGAGTACGTATGGGCCGGGTTTGGTGTACTCGCCTATCAGGAGGCACTGGACGATCTTTTCGCGGTAGAGTTCGAGTTGGAGCGTTTTCTGCTCTTCTTCGGAGCTGTCGGTTACGTCGGAGGCCATTACCGCTAGGCAGATCATGCTGAAGAGGAGGCCAATCCATACTATTGGCGTGCTTGTGGAGTCGGTCCAGAAGGATTCGTACTATGGTGTTTGTTAGTAACGATTGGAAGAATGGTCGGTGATGTTGTTTGATTTGTATCAACTTACTTCTTGAAGAAAGCTAGGCCCGTGGACCGCTGCTAATCATCCGGAATCAGTGATACTGTTGTTATAGCGGGATATGACAGGGGGTTCTCACCAGAAGCGACCAGATCGAGATAGTTGAAATATTTCGAAATATACCGGTCAACAGCGGCCTTTGGTGGGAATGCGGCGATAATTCCAGCCCGTGAGGCAGCCCGTTCACATCCGTAGATCAATAACGCATGTCGGTGGGATGGTTTCACACTCATATCTTCGGTAGACTCGGCCATTCTGGCTTGTTCTTCCCGATCACAATGCGCCTTCAGGTCGGCAATGCTGTCCAGAATGGCCGCCCAGTGCTCACCGGCCACGTACTGAAGCTCTGAGTCGGTGATTTGCATGCTGCCGCAATCCGACTGTGTATCTAGTACACTACCACCGGGCCCTGGTCGAGTACTGCTGCTTGGAGTGGCATCCGGGGTGGAAAGCTGTCGGACCTCGTCATTGTTGACTCCGTCGGACTTCATGGACTTCACGAGACGCTCCAAGTGGACTAGCCGGTCATGGAGTCCAGCGGGTGCTCCAACGGGCGTAGGATGCAATGGGGATGCTGGTGGCTTCCGGGCCACATAGACGCATGAGTGACCGCGTGCGACGCAGCTGGTACAGGGCTGTAGTCGATCGCATCGAGACTTGCGCTGGCGGCATGCAATGCACGAAAATTGAGGCTTGTCACGTCGTCGACGAGGTTTTGGAGCGGGAGTCCCGGAAGATGAGGACATTGAGATGAGTGATGAATGGTGAAGCAGACACAATGTTGTTGATGGTGGGTGGGGAGTCAGCGCGGCCTTAATACTTCTATCAACTAGTAGTCGAAGGACCCGGCACTATCTTAGTTACAGGAAGCAGCCCAATCGGAGGATCATCGCATATACGAGGTAGCCCTCCGATTAGCTAGGATGAGTGACCCCACGTGTTATGGGAATTCTACAGGAAGGATTTAGTGTAGCATGGAAGTGGTGCAATGGTGATCCAATTCAGGTGATGTGATTGTAGAATAACCATAAGTTGCATTCTACCCAGGATATCAATACATTTGGCCAAAGAAAAGCATGATGATACATTCATTTTCCGTCCTGATATTGTGTTCCAAACTTGATAAGGAATGTAATCAGGAAATCAACTTCAAACATTACCGCGCCGACCGTGTCCAGTCCCCAAATCCAATAATACAGTTGTGGAATCCTTGAAAGAGTTCAATCTCGAAATGGCAACCAATTAACGTAATAATATCATATTAGACACCTCATTTATGCCTTCGTGCCGTTGCCGTTGCCGTTACCATTGTGATGAAGAACCTTGGACACTTTCTCCTTCAACTGAGTAATGGGGCCGTGATGCTGGTGACCGTTTCCGTTGGCCTTGTTCTTTTGTGCTGCAGCTGCGGCGGCTCCTTCACTGGAACTCTTGCTGGTATCGGGTCCTAACATATGGTTAGTCAAACTCATTTCTCTTGGGTGATAAGACAGTGCTTTACTAACCTGATGGTTTCGAGCGGCTGTACCCGCGATCCAAACGCTTCTCAAACTCGTAAGGCTCCCTCGCAGGAGTCTTAGGGCCTTTCAGAGCTTCCTCGCTGACTTTGGTGTTCTTGGGAAGCTTGTCCCCGGTGTCATCTGCGCTCTCTTTGCCTTTCTTCAGGGAGTCAACATCGTCTTCTTCGGTCATTCCTGCGCCGCTGCCTTTCTGGGCAGAGCCAACCGCGGCGCCGCTCTCATCTTGCGTTGACTTGTCCTGATAAACCCGAGCTTCTTTATTCGGCACCTGGCTCCTTGCATTTACTGAATCTACTCCACTGGGAGTGGACTCGGATGCTGATGGAGTTGACTTGGCTGCGGACAATCTCTCTTGTTGGGTATCCCGTGCCGTATCGATGTTACCATAGGCACTCTGCTTTCCGACAGAGCCCCCCGCCATCGCTGAGCTAGGAGATGTCGTATCCTGCTGCATCAAGCGGGTTCTGACACCATCGTCGGTGACGCTCTGAGCAGCTCCTTGGTCGGCATTGCTCTTCATTCCCTGTTGTCCAATGACGCCCCCAGCCACACCTCCAGCCATGCCTCCAGCAACCGCTTTACTGCCGTACTCATTCTCCTTCTGCATTGATTTGGCTGCGTTATCTGGCATGCGCTGAGTAGATTGTGCAGCACTTGAAGTCCGTTGGTTTGCCGTATCCTTCTTTATCGATGTAGGAACCCTCTTTTGATCTTGCGCATCCATGTCATCCTGATTTCCTTGTCCAGAATAGGCATAGGCGCCAGTAGGGCCGGAGATGTTTGACTTGCTGGAGACTCCCTGATCCCTGGACGTAGGGACATTGTCACGAAGGTCAGAGTCTCGCCCGGAGTATGCATAGGCTCCAGTAGGACCGAAGCCTGAAATGTTTGACTTTCTCGAGACTCCCTGATCCCTGGCCGCGGAGACATCTTCACGAAGATCTGTGGTGTCCCGGACTCCTTGTCCAGAGTAGGCATACGCGCCACTAGTGGCCGAGGACGAGCCCGCAGTGTCTCTGCTCTTCTGGGTATACTGGCGTCCCATACCGGAGGTATGGCTTCCTTGACCATAAGCGGAGGTCTGGATTCGCTGCTCAGGAACGGCAGCTTGAGACTGTCCTTGCTTGATACCAGAGGAAGCACCTCTTATGGGGTAGTTCATCTGCTGACCCTGGGATGGCTCACTGATGAAAACATTCTTGGGGCCGAAGTCGGCATTGCTAGGTGACTTGGGGTTGCGGGCATGATCAGCATCGGTAGACGCAAGTGGTTCGGGGATGACAGCGGTGTTATCCTTTGTCCTAGGAGCTCCAGGTTGTTCTAATTGGTGTCAGCTTCACTTGATCATTCAATGGTTCGTGATTCTTCTGACAGAGCATGAAGAGCCTGATGAGGTTCTTACCATCACGGTTTCCGGCATCATAAGGATCGGTGGCAGTTCCTCTGCCTTGGATTCCAGATAGAGGCTCATCGCCATGCTGCTGGTTTAATTGGCTATCTGGTGTTTGGTTAGGATGGACCTCGTTCCACAGAGCATTCGAGGCGTTGTTGAAGGTTCGATTTATGGTCTCCATGTTTTATATGTGTGGTTGAAATCAATTGTGTGATATTTGGATGAAATGTAAGCTTAAGCTACTTCAGAGGTGCCGGACGCCTCGTTTATGAATGGATGGAGGCGATAATCAAAGAACCTTGTGTCGTCAGAGCTGTGGGTGGGATTGCAAAAAGGCTGGTTAATCTGCGGGATG